CCAAAGCTTTGGGCCGTCCTCGACTGCTTTCCCAGGCCACAGGCAGGGAGCTGGAAGGGAAGTGGGGCTGCTGGGATAGAACCAGCGCCCATATGGGATCCCGGGCATGCAAGACGAGGACCTTAAGCACTTGCGCCACCACGCCGGGCCCTACAGGCATTTCTGTATGGGAATCCACCATGAGATGATCCTCATCAGAAGCCAAACCAATGGGGTCACCCAATCTTTAGGTTTTCTGTCTTCAAAACGGTGAGTTAAGTAAACCTCCTTTCATTGTAAGTTTAGCTTGTCTTGGGTATTTTGTTATAGCAACACAAAGCTCATAAACCCAATATTCAAACTGTATTCTAGCACCATCAATATTTTACACTCAGACTTACTAAATAAGGCTGTGGATTGTAACAAGATCTCCAGCCAATTCCTGAGCACATCGGAGGTGAAGCAGCACTGTGGTAAAATGCCTGCAGAAATCCTAAAACCATTTGTGGAGAGAGATGTTTCTTGATGCTGTGGTTCTCCAAGAGTGATACCTAAAGCATTGCCTTCATCTGGGATTCACTGAAATGAGAATTCTAGAACCTGATGCTGGGCCTAATGAATCAGAAATCCTGGGGGAGCCATCTGTGTCAATCTCCAGGTCATTCTGATGGATCCTGAGCTTTGAAAATCCTGATGTTAATGCCATGAAATTGCTACACCGATGTGAAACCAGAAAAAGAGGAGTCAGCAGTGACACCCTGTGGAGCTGAGGGAAGTTTGCATCTGTTTTGCTTTTCTCCCCAGATACAGTAAAATCATCTTTATTCTTTGCCTTAGCAACACAAAGCTGATTTCTTTTTCTGTGAACTCTTCCTTTTAGTATCCTTTGTCTCTTTTAGTCATCCAGACTAATTATATAAATTCAAGAATCATTCATTCCCTGGCCATTAGGTGGATAACTTTTCGACTGAAGTAGTGCAAAGATAACATGCATGCAGTTGGTCTCATAGCAATCTAATGAGTTATATTTGTAGCAATGCCAATTGCTTACACTGTCTGTTGTGTGACTGTCACTGCACTCTCGTTCCAGAATTCACTCAATCTTAGGTGCTTGAGATGCATTTGCTCTTCCATCATATTTTAAAAGTACTTGAACACACCCACAAGGGAGAGAGGAGGAAGAGGGAGAGAAGCTTACATCCTCAGGTTCACTCCCCAGCGGCTAAGCCTGGGCCAGGTTGAAGTTTCAGAAACCTGAAACTTAAGGTGTTAGGTAAGAGGGGCCCAAGGGATCTTCTGCTGTCTTTCCAGACATGTCATCAGGAGGCTAGACAGGAAGCAGAGTAAGCAGGACTCCAACCAGGATTCAGATATGGGACACTTGCATCCTAAGTAGTCTCTTTGACTCACTACACTACAATGCCATCCTTCTTACTCTATTTTGCAAGAAGGAAACTAAAGTGATGATTGATTTTAGTTTATGCTGTTGATCACACAGCAGTTCTTAAAATGATCCCCCAGGATTCTCATATTAGCATCGCTTAGTATGCCTACTTCAAGTGTAGAACCCTGGAGACCCACCAAATCAGACTGGAGAGACACAACAGTTGGGGAACTTCTGTAATACACTGTATCATCTAGAAGGAAAAAAATTGACCTTCATAGAAGTGGATATTTAGGCTCAGAGTTAAGACATGTGTCCCACATTAGAGTGCCTGGGGTCCAATTTCTAGCTACAGCCCCTGACTCCCCACTTCCTGCGGCTGATGAGGTAATGGTAAGTGCTCAAGTAATTGGATTCCTGTCCCCTATGCAGCCGACCTGAACTGATTATCTCATCTCTGTCTCAGGCCACAGTCCAGCCCTGGTCATTGCAGACATTTGAGGAATCAAGCAGCAGAAGCAATCTCCCCCTCTCTCTGCTTCTCAAGTAAATAATAAAAACACTGCCATTTAAAGCATTACAAATTTTATCCTGAAATGTGGTAGTGCTGGAGACATGCAGAACAGTGAGGAAATGGAGTTTGTCCTTGGGGAGAATCTACTTGTTGGCAGTAAGAATGGATTTGGGCAAGTTGGTGATGGTACGCTTTCTTTACATGGGAAGTCTGGAGAAAAAGATCAGAAAAAACATGATGTTATATGAGGCAGAAGTGTCAGGTACTGCTCTGGGCTCATTTCCTAAGCGAGGTCTCAATGTATGGTATCTCAGATTTTTGTCTTAAGAAAATTTAATTTTACGTTACATAAAATATGGGCTAGATGCCCTAAACCGATTACGTAGAGGATAACATAAAATGATTTTTTTTAAGGGGCCAACATTGTCACAGAGAGGGAAGAGCCACCTCTTGCAATGCTGGAAGCCCGTTTCAGAGTTAATATGCTGGGAAGCTAGCAGTGGGAGACCAAGAGGTATTTCCTGGTTCCGAGCTTCAGCCTAGCCCAGCCCTCAGTGTTGAGGCTACTCAGGGAGTAAAGCAGTGCAGAGAGCTCTGTCTCACCCTCTCTATCATTCTACCAAATAAATTAAAAACATAATAATTTTATAAATTTGAAAGATGGGGATATATACATGGAGAGAGCCCCCATTTGCTAGCTCACTCCCCAAAGGCCCACAATAGCCAGGCTAACCAGGGCAGGAGCCAAATCCAGGAACCAGAAATGTAATCTCTTTGGGTGTCAAAGAGCCAACTACCTAACCCAGGACCTGCTGCCGTGAGGGTCTACAGGAGAAGGAAGCTGCAACAAGGACACACAAGCTGCAGCAGGGCACCAAACACACACACTCTGATAGGGTACATGGGTGTCTCAACCACTGCCAAATGTCAACCTCAAACAACTCTTTTCTGAGATTATAGAGTCAAGGTGGAACATTCAGATAACTCATCCCATGTTTGTTCTAAAACAGATTGTCCCTAACTTCTGACATTTGTCTTTTTTTGAAGTTACTGTCAGTTTAAGATTTTTGGCTTGTCTTTCAAATCCACGGCTATTTTAGTATTCGTTATGCAAGTTGTGTTATGCCCCCTGGTGGCAATATGGAAAGGAAGATGAGAAGCATATTTCAATCAAAGGGAGAGTGCCAACTTAATTGAAATACGTGGCAGGCCTTGAATTTGAAATGGAATTTCATATAAAATTTCTCTGGTCTTACTAAAAATAGGAAACATCCTGTTAAACTCAAATCAGATGTATTAACTTCAGCCTGCAAGGTGCATATTTCAATTTCCCTTGCTTTGTCACAAAATGGATTAGCTCCTTGAAATATGTCAGTTGAACTTGAAATTAAATATTTGCTCTACATATGGCTAAGTAGCTGAACTCAAAAAAGATAACTCAAGCCTGGATCAGCACAGCATCTCCTTCCCGAGTAGGCCTCAGTAGAGGCCGCACACGGCTGGGGCCATTGGCTTCTTGTATTAGTTTTGCTGTATTAAGTAGCTGTAAAAAGGTTATATGCCCCCAAATAGTCCTCTTCATGAAGGCTCTGGAAATAAATTCTAAATTGCAAAATTAATCCTCAATCGAAGCACTCAAATATGTGGGTATAAACATCGTCATTTTTACCTATTTGGTGACAAAAATAGATAGGCAGAGCCACACCATGTGCTGATATGGAGTGGGAATGACTGTTTCTTGCTGAGTCTGGATAAACAATAGTGCCTGACAGATATCAAGTACTGCGACTTCCTTTGGAAATTTAAAATTTTCCATAGTTCCTCTTTCAATTAAATAGATTTGCACCATAGCAAAACAGCTCGACAGGCAAAAGCATGGAAGACATCACTGGTATAAACTGATTTGGGTGTCAGAATATGATGTCTTTGTAGAGGTGGCTTCACCTGGGAGCCTGGTAAGACTATTGCGAATATGTCAGGGGACGTCGAGAATATATGCTGCGATGAGCAAATGATGTGAAAGGGACGCTTTGGTGACTTAACCCCTAGTTCTTGTAAGTGGATGGTTATGAGGGAAGGAGGTGTAACGGTCTAAGAACATGAATGAGCTCCCTTTCTAATACAGGCGAGGACATAGTTAGGGATGTTATTCACCACGATGGCTTTAACTATTTGATAATCATACTTCAACATAATTGGTTCCCCTTTCTTTCCTGAACTTTTTTCACACACGAAGCACATCATTCTGAAAGGGCTCACTGGGATTCACCAGAATGTCTAAAGACTCAAACAGCTCCCTGACACTAAACATACACGACTGAAATGCAGGAGGAAGAGGATAAATATAATAGAATGTACAAGACTGTTCCAGTCACGAGTGAAGCCATGGCCATAGAGAAAAGTTCTCCAGGATTATGGTAGTGGTGGCAAAAAAAAAAAAAAAAAAAAAAAAAAAGTCAAGGGCAAAAGCCTGAATAGACAGACATTTAAGGGATGAATAGAAAACAAGGCCTTGAATGGAAAAAGTTTGAGAACCAAGAAGGTGGTACTTGTGAGACAAAGTATGAGATAGGCAGAAGTTAGGAAGACAGAAGTATTAACAGGTATCAGCAGAACTGTAGGAGTTTTTCCTTGTGACCTTGAGAGTTCAGGGGATTCTGTATGCAAACAAGTTACAATGTCGTGATGAAATGATGACTGGGAGCGGAGCAGTCTCATGGACAGCCTAGGGGCTACAGGAGCAAAGCATCCGAAGCTGCAGATACGTCTGTCTTGGACTTATACTCACGGCAGAGGTTTGGTCACGTTTTATGCCAGTTAATTAGCCTCACAGCAAGACTTTCCTATTGATGAAGCCCTGATTGTTTAAAGAGAAGCAAGGAAGGGACAAGGCAGTAGCTCAACTGCATATCCCTGTCTACCCTCCCTGGGCACCCCTCTTCTGCTGCTGATTCCATTCCAGGGCCTCTCCTATGCCAGGACCCTGCCCACAGGAGCATCTTATGACGTGATGAAAGGCAAAGCACCTGGAGCTAACAGGTACTCGGTGCCAGCCAGTGGTCTAATCTCATTGCCTCATGAAAACCCCAACAATGTCAATGAAGGCATAAGCCAATCCAACTCTTTTCTTCACACAGTTGCATTTGCAAGTGCGGTACAGTGAGAACGCTGCAGACTTTGTTATCATATACAACACACAAATTTTGGCTGTTATTTAATTTTTCCAAGATCTTCAAAGTTTATCTATAAAGCAGAAATACAAAAGAAACAAACAGACAAACACTACCCAGAGTTGCTTGAGGGAGAATCAAATGAGTCCCCAATCACCATGGTTTATATCATAGTCAGGGTTCAACAATGCCACAACTCTGTATGCCAGCAAAGTAACAAGACATAAAAATACATCTATACACACGTCAAAGGTACAACAAGGCAATAGAGTACAGACAAGTTGTGTTAATTATAAATTGATAAATATTTACATTAAATGCCAGAAGAAATAACATTATGAGTATATAAAAACTGAGCCAACATTGTTACATCCCATAGTTCTACTGGCATCAACCTCCTCTTCCCTTCCCAAGCAAAAACGGAAACGACGGCGAGTCGTTTGTGAGACGCCGAGCAAGGCTGTCAGTCAGGTGTCATTCTGAACATCCTGCTCTTCAGTTCAGCTGCTTTCTTATCTATTCTATCTTGGCACTCCTCTGTGGCCTTTTCAATGCCTTCGTTGTATTTCTCCATAGCAGTTTTCAAGTTCAGAAATATTTCCTGAGTATGGAATCAAACAAAGAATTATTCCTAAACTAAAAATGAATTACAACGATTTCACTCATATTTATTAGTATTTTAAAGCCTAAACTTGTGTGCTCCCACATTGTGCCTGCTAAAAATGATTCATTTCACTGCATATTCTCATGAACATGTGCAAGCTGAAAAGCTGATTTAAAAAATGTAGAGAATAGAAAAATAGTGGTTGTCAGAACCTGGGAAGGACGTGGGGGAAGGGCGGGCAATGGGAGGAGAGAAGAGGGTAAGGAGGGAGGATGGCTGATGGGAAAAATACAGTCAGACAAGAGGAAAACTTTTTGTTTTAAAGATGTATTTTATTTATTTGACAGGCAGAGTTAGAGAGAGGGAAAGAGAGAGAGAGAGATCTTCTATCCACTTGTTCACTCTCCAAATGATGACAGTGGCTGGAACCTGGCCAGGTATTAAGCCAGGAGTCTGGGAATCCTACATGGGCACAAAGGCCCATGCTCTTGGGCTACCTTCTGCTGCTTTCCCAGGCACATCAGCAGGAAACTGGATTGGAAGAGGAACAGCTAAGGATTGAACTGAAGGCCATATGGGCTACTGCAGCTGCAGGCGGAGGCGCTACTTGCTACATAACAGCAACAGCCCAAAGGGGAAATAACTTCTAATATTTAGTAGCACAGTGGGATAACTACGTTTGGCAACAACTGAATATTTTGGAATAGCTACAAGACAGAATTTTAAATATTCCCAATACAAAAACATGATAAATGTCTCAGGTGATAAGTTGGTTACTATGATTTGATCATTATATTACACACATGTATTGAAATGTCGTACTATATCCCATAAGTATTTAGCAGTTACAAGATACTAAAATATTTTACAAATCCATTCTGTAAACCCTATTCAAAAAGTCTGTGACTCAGAAAATAAAATAGAGATATATAACTGGCTAGGATTCTAAAGAATTCAGAATAAGCATGATGGCAACTGGCTAAATCTCTACCCACAAATGCCAGTGTCCCATGAGTGCTGGTTGGTGTTCACGTTGCTCCACTTTCCATCCAGCTCCCTGTTTACTGCCTGGGCAATCAGTGGAGCAGAGACCACAGCCTTGGACCCTGCAGCTGTGTGTGGGATCTGCACGGGACTTCCAGCTTCTGATTAGCTCAGCTACAGCCCTCGTGGACACTTGAAGAGTGAACCAGTGGACAGGAGATCTTTCTCTGTCTCTCTTTCTCTCTGTAAATGTGCCTTTCCAATAAAAATAAGTACACTTTTTAAAAAGTAATAATTGTATCAAAGTCTCATAAAAATCATAAAATTGGCAGAATTGTTTGTGCAAAAGACAGAGCTCTTTTAATTGATCAAAAACCCAATGAGTCAAGGGCAAGATGCTATTGCCAAAAATCCAAATCAGTGTTAGCCTCATGAACAGAAGAACTGTACTTCCTGGCTGGCTGGCCATACCATTATTTTGGAAGACTGTGTTGAGTTTTGGATTACAGATTGCATTTTTATTTATTTTCGTTTTTTTTTAAAGGGTTCATTTCTTGAGTCGAAAAGCAGAGACAAAGAGAGCGAGGACACAGAGCTTTCGGTTGAAGCCAGGTAGTCCAGCACAGATCCTGAGTTTCTCAGTGGGCATCTGAGCAACTAGGCTGATGGCCTGTAACAGTCATACGTTTCAAATGGAATGATGATTAATAGTAAAGAGAGTAGAAGACAGTAAAAAGGATAGCAATGAATCTGAAAATCAAGCTAAGAATGATGAGGAAACTGGGACGAACTAACCTAAACTAGGGAAGCAGGAAAGCACCAATGACCACTGGACACAGGTGTCTTCAGGTGATCAGACAGAGGATGCAGCCTTGTCCAGACTTTTCAGCACAACACAGAACTTGCATTAATTCAAAGTTAACAACAGCATTTTCCCTAGCGTGTGTATAGTGTGTGTAGTGACAGCTACTTGCCGTTGCCAAGAGTTAAGGAGAACTTGCTAGTGCTTCCCAAAAGCCATGTGGAAAACAGATTCAGACGCCAAACTGGTGTGGAGATTCTGATTCATATATTTGGGCGAGAGTTTTTTTTTAAAATTTATTTAAAAATTCTCCATTCAATTCAAATACAAACAACTTTAAGACACATTGTGCCGAGTGACTGTCCCATATAGAATATATAAAGTGTACTACATACAACACCCCATATTCAAGGCATGGTTTGACAAGCCACACTAAAATTACTGAGACATGACTGTTGTTGTTAGGAAAGGTAAAATGATAATGGTGAGACATACAGTGCATCTTTTATAACTGACAGACAAAGCAATCTCAAATTCCAGTTGGTAACTAGTTTTTAACTAATGGTTGGTTCATTAACTATAAAGACTACAAGAACACAAATATGGGTTGATTTGGTTTTATGTAAGAAGTAGTATTAAATTATCAACTAACAGCTTTCTAATCCCATTCTAGAGAAGGGCCAAAGGCGGGGTCCATCTTCAGTTAAGGAACAGGAAAAAGGAATATGGGGCACAGACAGAACAGAACAGAGAGGCACAGCATGCCCCGAGGAGAGCAGGGAGGCAGATGGCGACCGTGTTATTTCTTCCACGTTCTTTCCCTTGCCTTCAAGTAGCGGAACCTTAGGGCTAGTTCTATTATAAGGATAATAGAAGAGCAGATACAAATGATAGGAAAAGGAAGAACCCTAGGGGTCAATTTCTACACCAGAGAATGAGTAAGAGTCCTCATGATGAAGGCGACATTAATTTACATTTCTAGCTCATGGGATCCTCTGAAATGAATTCCTTTCTGACCCACTCACCTGAGACTTCTGTGTCTCCCTTTCCGTGGCATCTTTTAGTTGCTGAATTGCAGATTTAATTTTTTGGATTTCTTGATTGATTATAGTTACTCGCTCACAAACAGCACCTCTTTTTTCTTGAACTTTATTGCAGTCCCTATAGGGAAACAGTGGCAATTAATAGATAATTCCTCTCAAGCATCTAAAACAGGCAAGCACTTAATTCTAATTTTCATTCTGAAGTAATCAGGAGTCACTATTTGACAAAGCTTAAGCTTTTCTCAGGCAACAGAAGGACACCAGATAATCAATCCCCCAAATCACATCATGGTATATATAGTGAAACCTCCACCCAAAAGCCATTCTTTCAAGGTGTGGATTTTTCAGTTACGCTCCGCCAGCTGAGCACACCTCTGCACTGCTGGGGAGAAGAGAGGCAGTGCCAAGTGGCCCGTCAGGCAGTCTGGCACCGAATGCAAAGACCTGAGGTTCTGCCCTTTTCTTCATCTACATTAGCCTCTGTGCAGCAAATGCTCAGGAAATCCCTCCCACTCCACCAGGGACTGGAAGAGTGCTGCTCTTTATATCCCAGGGACATACATTCTGAAAGCACATGCTTGGGACGGACGGGGAAGAGACTGTTGTTTGAAATAGGTCAGCACTCTGGGCAGAACCCCAGAATGTTTAGCAAAGTATTAATTCTTCCTTGAATAAAAATAGTAAACCTTTTACTCGAAACGCAGATGCTCTAACTGCCAGCTGGACAAACGGATGATTCTAATGACACTGTAGAGCAGTGGAAAGTGCAGTCTTTTAGGTCACCACACTTTGGAAAGCAAGAGGGGCCATGAGCAGCTCGCCTGCAGCCAGCAGGGACGTTTGGCGAGGGTTCCTAATCCTGCCTCGTCTGCTCAGACAGCATGGTCTGTTCTAGAACTGTGGCCTTCACACGGGCTGTCAGAGTTAGCGTCATGATGGAGGATCTGGACTTTATTAAATTGGGCTGGGTGATTTCCTTGGGAAACCGTCCTGGCTGTTTGTACACAATCAAGAAAAGGTAGGGAAGCAGCCACTGCGGCAGAGCATGTTAAAAAGGCTGCCTTCGGCGCTGGCATCCCATAGGGGCACTTGCCTGAGCCTGACCGCTGCACTTCCCACCTGCCCCCCGCTAATCTGCATGGGAAAGCAGTGCCAGATGGGCTAAGTGTTGGGCTCCTGCAATCACACGGGCGACCCAGAAGGAGGCCCTGGCTTCTGATCAGCACAGCTCCAGCGATTGCAGTCATCTGAGGGTGAGCCAGAGGATGGAAGATCTGTCTCTTCTCTGTTACTATGCGTTTTGAAATGATAAATCATTCAAAAAAAAAAAAAAAAAAAAAAAAAGAGAGAGAGAAAAATAGGTGCTTTGCAAGTAGTAACAAACAATACTGTTTTGAAAAGCTACACAAAGAAACTGAAATCATAGTAACTAGAAAAAGAAAAAAGCCTGTAGCTAAAACATCTCTAAATTTCGACACAATGCAGCATTAACTCATCGGTTTTAGTAAAGGTATATAAAACTTCCAGAAAGTATGCATGAAGGAGTTTGGAGTCAGGGAAGGGTGGAAAGAAAAGTACTAGCTTTTTGTAATTACTTTCTAGTGCATTAAAATGGGAAATAAAAGCATACTCAATTACGGAGCGCTTGTATTGCTTAACATCTTCATGTTTCTGGTTTATTTTGAATTGTGCTGTAGCAAGTTTTTCCTTTTTCACAATCATCAGTCTTTTGAACGAATTTTCTTCAGTCTTCAATTTCTTCAGTTCGGACTCACCACTCTCAATTTGGTCCTCCAGATTCAGGCTCTGTATTTTAGGAGAAGATATGAAGTCAATACAACCAAGCAAAGAACATGAAGAAGTCATCACCTACAATAAGCTTTGATAAAACCCAATTTTAAAATGAAGAGATCTATGTAAATCCAGAAAGCCCAGCAGACAAACACACTCCAAGTAAATAAGACAACAGGAAGTGAGAAAGCACATGGTAACTCAAGAGATGTTCTGCTCAGCTGTCCTGGGCAAGGACGGGAGCAAAGGGACACGGGAGATGAGCTCAGCTGAGCTGGGACTCAAGGGCCTGAACCCAACGACAAACAGGACCTGTCAATCTTTCCGGTGACTCTTGTTGGCAGGCAAGAGAATGTGCAGGTGGAAAAGAACACTTCAAATACTACCTGCTAACCAGTACTTTCCTTAAAAAATAAAAAAAAAAAAAGAAAAAAATCTTTTTATTAGTAAAATGCTAGTAATTTAGTGGATACTGCACATTAACATGACCAAGTAAAGTGGTAAAGGATTTTCAGGCTTCAAGTCTTAGAAATTCAAGGGACAGCCTCAGCTCTCATTCTCCAGGGCAGAGATGTAAAACGTTATAAATATTAAGTCTCTTATTTTATAAATCTTAGGTACGACAATGAGCAACAGGGTGGAATTTTAAGTTTACTGATGAAAGGGTCATTTCCAACTATTTGAACAAGTTCAAAATTATACTGCTGTTTTCCAAAAGCTATACATGGTAACGGCCTGTTTGTTATTATCCATTTTATCTTGGGGTTAACATGGAAGTTACTGCTCTGTTTAAAAAAAAAACTGTCCTGTGACCTCACATAAAGTACTACAATTATGCTTAAGTGATGTTTTTCTTCAGGAATATACTAACAAAAGTTAAAGCAATCCAAGGGATTATAGTAGCTCATGATGTAACAACATCATGAAAGTTCTACACCATACTAACCTCCTTTAAGATGTTGGTTAATTTTTCCCTGTTATCTGCTAGGTCCTGTATTTTCTTTTGATACAATTGCACCTCCAACTGGCAGGAGGGCAGGCGGTCCACTGAGTCTCTGTAGATTTCATATTTCTCCATCACTTCTTGCTTTGAAAGAAAAAAGAGAGACCACAGTATTATTCTTCTTTATGAAACTAGTAATATCTTTTTATTTTTTGTCTGAAAGAATTGCTTCCTTTAAACCTGAAAGCTTAAGAACAGAGGACAATGTTTCTAAATCAAAAACCCAGCACTTAAACGGCAAATGTCTGATCCTATAAAATGATGCTTCTTAATTGCCAAATATTCTCAAATAAAGGACAACTGCCCTCAATTTACTGTAGCATTCGTTGAAGTATCTTCCAAGAGTTATTTATGAAGACATTAAAGTAGTTCACTCTGTAAATACTCAACTACTTCAGACTCTTCCTGGGCAATCACATTACCATTTATAATCTCCCTATTCATTTGCATAACAGTTATTACTACAGCTAGCTATTTTAAAAAGATTAATTATATTTCAAGATTTAAAAATGAATAACACAGCCACTGCTAACAATTAAAGACTTCTGCCCATTTGGTTCACCCATGGTACTGCCCAGTCATGTGTTACTGCTCAGTTCACTGTGTAAAATTTGTGAAGACTCATACAATTTACGATTTGCATGTCATGGGTATAATCTTTTTACCTGACATATGCAACATTCATATGTTCCAACAGGCCCAGTTTTGAGGTTCCCAATCTTAATAAAAATCTGTACTAGTTAAACAAATGGTATCCTAAAATCATTTAAAAAAAAAGTCTTTGAATTTAATTTCTTAATATACACAGAATTTATTTTTCTAACTGGTAAACTGTTATACTAACTACCTTTTCTTCTAGTTGAATCTCTAATTGAGCAAGAACTTTCTTTTAGAAAACCACCCTTTCTCCTTAAATACAGAAAACCATTCTGGGTTCATATTTCTATTAAGATAAACTCTGTTTACTCCTGTATGATAATCTTAATCATTGAGAGGGCCCTGGGATAGTAAGCTCAGAGATGGGCCAGACACAGTTTTTTCATCAATACTTTAAATGCTAATCTGTCCATCCACTTCCTCTTATTCTACTGCAAATCATCTCCCATGGTAATCTCTGACCACACCTTGTTGCACATTACCCACAGAACGCACACACGCTGCTCTCTCTGCCTTCACCACGCCTCCAAATACAACTGACTGCTAGCTGTGTCTCCCTTAGACACTGGTACAAATTTCTACTTCCTTACCTCTTCCAACTAATTCCAACTCTGCTGTATTGGGCTCCCCTCGATCGATCATAGGATCTGAAAACCTCCCATGCTTTCCTCCCTTTTTGGCTTTCTGAAATGGATGGTAATTTTTTGGAGTTTTACATTCCTACGCCTGAGCCTCCAAGCATACCCAAAACTCTTGCACGCTATCAACTATGGTTTCTAATTATGCAATTGTTTGTAAATTTATTTAATCTCTTTCTCCTTTGTAATGAAAATAATTAGATCTCAGGAGAGCAGAACATTTGTTTTATGAAAGGAATTTATTGATGCATCAGTCTCAGGGTCACAAAAGCTACATAATCATGACAACGTGACTCTCCTCAGTTCTCATGTTCAGGTCCCTTGTCCTGATCACTCACAGGGGCGTCTCTGGCTGCTCTTTAAACTGACTGTGTCCCCTACATCCACTTTTGAGAGGAGCTACAAATCAGGGACACAGCAACAAAGTTTAAGAGGTAACCAGTACAGATATTTGGAAATCAGAAAATTAATCCATGATCACACAAAAGCCACAGAGAAGCAATGAAATGAAGTGGAAACTCACCCTGGATGTTTTTAGCCTCTGGACGGTCTCTTTCATTTTTTCTTTATAATTCTTTAGTTTCTCTGGAGAATCCACAATCTTTGTCTTCAAACTGTCTTGCGTTTCTTTCAAAGAAACTAGTGACAACTTTAGCTCATTCTGTTCAGAAAACATTGTTAAATATTAAACATAATAAAACTGGTGACTTAGCATATCAGTAATGGAAAAGAACAAAACCAGGTCTACCTTCACTATGGTGGGAGTGAAATTAAATCTGACCTCCTCACTTGCCTGCTTAATTGCTTAGGCGTGTCTATGCGCGAGGATGCAATCCCCATAGTGTGAAAGTCGGGTCCTTTCATAATATGGTTCTTACCTTGCTTTGCACTTTTATCTGCTTACTACACCCTATCAGCTAGTGTTTGGCATAGATCATTCTAAGTGCTATCTCTTTTTAAATATCTTTAAAAAACATTTACTTATTTATCTGAAAGACAAGAGAAACACAGAAAGAAAGAGCTATCTTCCACCTGTGAGTTCACTCCCCAAAGCACCACAATGGCTGTGGCTGGGGCAGGATGAAACTAGGCACTTGCAACTTCATCCAGGTCTTCCCAAAGGTGGCAGGTGCTCGGGTCATCTTCCTGCAGGGTTTTTCAGGCACAGGAGCAGGGAGATGGAGCAGCTGGGCCTTGAACTGGCACTGTGATATGTGATGCCTCAGTTGTAGCTGGCAGCTTATCCCACAAAACCACAATGCTCGCTCCTAATTGTGGCCCTCCTAGAAAATCAGCAACCCACTCCTTTCTCAGGCAGAAATCACTGGACTTCTACTGACCTTTGAACAGTCACCACTGCCTCTACTTTCCTTCTGCAAATAGTACAGTCAATATGTTGCAAAACTGTAATTAGATATTCAATATATTTCCAAGTTAGCCAGGCAATTTAGAATTGTGAAGGTATTGTTGTTCTCCCAATACCCAAATAAAGTAAGAGCACAAATGTGTTTTCCTTTCCATGAATCGCAGAAGTCAACGCAACCGTAATGGAAACCAAAGTAAAAGCTGTCCAGCTAGTCTATTTAAACTTTGGTGCAGGGTCCGGCGCAGCAGCCCAGCAACTAAAGTCCTTGCCTTGAATGCACCTGGATTCCATATGGGTGCCGGTTCTAATCCAGGCAGCTCCACTTCCCATCCAGCTCCCTGTTTGAGGCCTGGAAAGCAGCCATGGATGGCCCAAAGCCTTGGCACCTTGTACCCGTGTGGGAGACCTGGAAGAAGTTCTTGGCTCCTGGCTTCAGATTGGCTCAGCTCTGGCCGTTGTGTTCACCTGCAGAGTGTATCATCAGACGGAAGATCTTCCTCTGTCTCTCCTCCTCTCTGTATATCTGCCTTTCCAATAAAAATAAATAAATCTTCATATGAACCTCTTTCCCAAATACCTGATGGTAACACACACATTGTTATAGGATATTATGATTCCATGTACTGATATAAAAATTTCTCAGAAATATGAAGTGAAAGGATTAACTCATAGATCAACACATTCTATAAAAACAGATCGAATAGTGATATGTGACTACCTGCATCTGAACAGGTGCATACAGCATCACAGGAAAAAGGACCAGAAAGGTGTTCCCTCTAAGTGAAGTGGGACGGGCAAAGAAGACCTTTAAGTTCAGCATATATGTTTTATAAATAAGAGAGATGTCCCAACATATGACTTCTGTAATTTGTCTAAATTTTAATTTAAGAAAAAAAAAGTTATTACCTTCTGAATGGCTAACTCAGAGGCCAAACTGAATGTCAGCAATCCTGCATTTCTGCGTATTCTGTTCTTGAAGTCAGTGAACGCCCCACTAGCTAGCCCCTTTTAATGCTCTACAGAACCAGAACTCACATTTACAATAGTGCTGACTTCTTTATGAAAAGCCTAAACTGGATACAATTACATAATCGTAAATGAGACAAAAAGAAAATGAGTAACAAATTCAAGCCATCTAGGTACTACTCAGAAGAAAAGCATTTGCCAATTTAAAAAAGACATGATACTAAATTTCAGATGTATATAAAGTATATGTGTTAAATTAGTAAGGAAACCAAAAAACAAACAAACGTATTATGAAAAATAATGAGGGACCAATGTGGTGGCGTGGCAGGCTAGTCCTCCACCTGCAGCACCAGCATCCCACATGGAGCCCGGCTTGTGTTCCGGTTGCTGCACTTCCAATCCAGTTCCCTGCTTATGCATGAAAAAGCAGTGGGAGATAGCTCAGATCCTCGGGCTCCTGCACCGACATGGGACTCCTGCTCCCAGCTTCAGATCGGCTCAGCTCCAGCCATCGTGGCCGGCTGGAGAGTGAACCAGCACATGGAATACCTCTGTTAGTCCTTCTCTATAAAATCTGCCTTTCAAATAAAATAAATTTCAAAAAAGATAAAAGCATTAAGATGAATAGCATAGGCTTTCCTATGCACAGAATAAGAGCCTGTTTTTTTGTTTTTCTTGCCTTAAGACTAACTGTAAACCTCCATTCTGGCAAGCATGCTAGGAAAGGAAAACACCCATATTACTAAAACTACTTTCAATATGAGTCAACTACAAATGTCTATTTGACACAAAAATCCTAATTTAATAACTGACTTGAACATAAAAAGGAGGAATTGGTGCTAACGGGATTGGGGCTCAGTTACCACTGAGAATGCCGATATCCACAGCCGGAGTGCCAGGCCAGGCTCTGGCTGTTCTGTTCCTTATCTAGTTCCCCAGTAAAGACCCTGGGAACCAAGTGCCTGGTCCCCACCAGGTGGGAGACATGGAGAGCGGGCAGGGCTCCTGCTTCTACCTGTTCCAACCCCAGCCTTGTTGGTCACCTGGCAGGTGGGTCAGCAAATGCAAGATTTTTCTCATTCTACTCTCTCCCTCTCTCTGTCATCATTCAAGCAGATAAAAAAAAAATACATCTTAAATAAGAATAAACAACAACAAGAATCTGATGCACAAATGTCTATTTAGTTCAGACACATGGCTTTAACACACAGATAAACATTGCAGAGGTCTCCCACTGGACTCAAAGGATCTGTATTATGGTACATATACATACTATAGCATAATATGCAGCCATTAATCTAAGCAGACCCATTTACAACTCCTGTCACTATTTGGACTACATTGCTAAGTGAGGATAAAAGGCAATTTGAAAACAGACTGAATGTAGTATCACGGACGAACCATTACACACATATGACAATAAGTAAGAATGCAATCCATGATATATATTAGTTGTAGTGGTGATTTTTCAGTTTTTTTTAACCTTCTTAATATATTTCTATGTGTCAATGTTTTGTAAAACAATGTACATCTGTTATATTCAAGGAAAAATGATAAGAAATATTGGATTAAATAAATCTATACTGTTCTCTAAAAACACAGCCAAGCTTTAAATGCTCAAGTTGCTTACCAAACGTTTGGTTTTCTCTGAAATATCTGACTTCTTTTGGGAATTCCCCTCCTGCAGCACTATCTAAGGAAAAAACAAACGCAAGTTTTACAGTGATTCAAAGCGGATTTAAATTCAATCATTGCTTTCTCCTAAAATAAATGTAGGAGAGGAACTGAATCAGCCAAGATACCGTTAAATGTTCTCTGTTCACAATGTCTTTAGGCCAAAGGAAATATCCAGTAGTTTCTTTACTAGGTTGTTGGGTATACATATCCTGCTAATGGTGCACCGGTGGGAAAAAGAATTGGTTACAAGGAAAAATATTCTTAAAGTAACCTCACGATGAACAGCACCCTTCCTAAGTAGATGCTTCCACATATATCCACACACCTTGGAATCAGGCTGGAGGTAGACCCTACCATTTCCTGTTCCATAGCAATTTTCCTGACGTTTGCTTTTTATTACAGAAAATGCCAACCCCCCAACTTCACAAAGATCGTAAAGGGAGGTGACATGGCCTCACATTCAGACCACCATGTGCTAATGGTTCAAGAGGTATAGGACCCATGCTGAGTATTACAGCGCTTCCCTCGAAAATGTATAACACAATCCTGAAGCCCCCCTGATGGCATGCTGCAGCCTCCCAGCTGCTTTAGAAGACAGTTTGGGAATAACAGGAGAATCCAAAAATATTGTATTCAACAAGAAAGTACCTAGTTTTGACAACACACACCATCATGATTTTACATGCTTGAAAGAACAATATGCCCATCAGGGGAGGCACATATGGGCATAGCAACCAACAGGTTCCAATCATTTTGCCACTAACGCGGTGTGCTCTTTCTCCGACTGCGTGCCCGATCACATCTCTAAAAATACATCTTTGTGTCAATTTTAAGATATGGCCAAATAAATACCGTTTTCTGACGGAAGTCCTGATTGAGCGACTGCTGCAGCTCTTGGATGTCGTCTGTGAGCTGCTTAAACTCCTCCTGCTCCTCAACCGGCACGGAGCTGCAGGACACAAGGGCGCGAGCATTCACTCAATTCTTAATTGGGAAAAGTTAAACTCAAGCCTCTGCCCTTAACAACTCGGATGAAGAGCACGTCTACTGCCACGTTTCTGAATTCCTTACTTTCTTCTGACAGAGACAACCACCATCAGATGGACCCCTTTCAATTTCTACCATCAGATCCCTGATTTGTCTAACTCCGATCCTCATGCACCTGCCATTTTTCTTGACCAATCCCAATTTCTCTTCTTCACCCTGGCTCTCACATCTTCACGTCTCTTATTCTAATCACCCATTCTTCTTTCCTAGTCCTTCACGAACAGCATTCAGACATGCTCAAAGCCCTTCCATGTTTACTGTTAACCTTAATTCTTGCCCAGCCATCAGCCATCTGCGTCCATACTGCAGTAAATTCGCTTTACAGTCTTTATCTGTTTCTCTGTTAAGTCTCCTTTCCCACTATCAGTCTACAAACACAACTCTGGTTAATAGTTGGTCATGCTTTGCAGTCTATGTTGCAAAGATTCTCTCCCACTGTGTCATTTTCCTTGATGTGATGTGTGCTGTCTTTTCCCACCTTCAATTTTAATATCTGCCTCCTATATCCAGTCTTTTCAGCTTACTGCTTGCTATAAAGCCATTTTCACCAGAGGCAGGACAGAAAAGCTCTTGCCTGAAATGCAAAGCTAAAGACAACACATTGAAAGGGGTTTAATAAGAAACACACACACACAAAAACCAAAAAACCCTTGTGCTCAAAATCAATATAATTGGTCCCCCCAGCTTAAAATTTTTCTCCAGAAACCATTTTTCAACTTTACAAGTTAGAAGAGTGATGGAAACCCCTGTAGAATTTGGCTCTCCCGCAGTGGGCAGCCTACACCCTGCAACGCTGAGCAGCAGCAGGGGCCACAGCTCCCCATGAGCCGCGCTCTCACGAGGGTAGATCAGCAGCACCGTGCAGCCTGCTGTGTGCTTCAGTATATTCAGATGTTCAAGACCAAGAGCATCAGACCCATGGGCCTATGTCCCAGGAAGCGCCCCTACCAGGACACAAGGCCCAAAGAGGATGTGGAACATCTGTACATACGAGCGTGTTGTAAACACCTTTTAGAAAAAAAAGTGTAAGATAAGCTTGCCTTGCTGTAAGAAAAAAACTGAAATTTATGCATATGGGGGATCTTCAAAAAGTTTATTTAAAATGCTTAAGAAAACACATGGCTTGGTACAGCTGCCTGTGAGGCCAGGCTAGCATTCTGTACAGGTGCAGCTGAGCTGAGCTGATCTCCTTCTAGGCAGCTCCCTGATAACAATCCGGGAGGCAGCAGCAGAGGGCCCACGTGTCGGGCTCCCACCACCACTGTGAGAGGTGAAGCTCCCGGCCCTGACCTGAGCCGGCCTACGCCTGGGTGCTGTGCCCACCTGGAAAGTAGAGCAATGGACTCAAGATCTGTTTCTCTCCGTGATTCTGCCTTTCAAACAGAATAAATAAATGCCCAAGTGACCCAGAAAGACAGGGAGTAACAGAGAAACAGAGATGTTGAGACCCAGACATACTTTCCATCCGCTGGATCACTCCCCAGATGGCTGCAAAATGGCCAGGGGGGGCCAGACCTTAGCCGGGGACGAGGAGCCAGAAGCTTTTTCCGGGTCCTCCATGTGAGTGTAGAGGTCCAAACACTTGGGGCCTTTCTCCCACTGCCTTCCTAGATGACTTGCAGGGAGCGGACCAGAAATGCAGCAGCTGGGAGCTGAACCCATGTGAGATGTCGGTGTGGCAGGCAGAAACTTAACATGCAACATTACAGTGCCAGCCCTAACCTTTAAATTTTTTAAAGTTTTTTCACATCAGGAAGGTAAGAGCATAATTTTTGACTGAATTTTTTTTGGCATCTAATCCATGAGTTAAAAAACAAGACAAAAATAAATTTAAAAATTCTGTCCAGGAATAAAACTTTTAACAGAGTTAACTGTCCTAATGGAAGAAAGAGTTTGGACAGTTATTGTTCTCAAATGCAAGATTAATATTCCGTATATAATTTAGGGGAAGAAACATTTAAGTTAAATTTGAAGAAGAAAGCAGCCAAACAGTACATAATTTTCAAAAACACCTAATCTTATCTTTTATTTTTTTATTTGACAAGGTTAACTTAAGTCTCATTTACTAAAGATAACGGAAGATACTTAAAGAAGACTAAAGGGTTATAAAAGAAAGCTTGCCACTCACTTTACACTTGGTAATGCATTTATCTATTGCCCACTTACTCAAGTCTCTCCAGTTTCAGTAAGGCCTCCTGGTGTGCGGTGTTTAACTGATGCATTTTGTCCACAGAGGATTTCTATAAAAGCAATTTTAATAATCTTATATATTAGCACTTTTCCATAGAAGCAATAATATAGATTTTTATTTCTAAGATCAACAAGCACATATGGAAGAGGTTCATTCACTAATTGTTATCATCAGAAATGAGAAAGATAAGACAGTTAGGCATTCATAGCAAGTGAATTTAGAAATGTCTTTTCTTTACACAAATGCTGACTCCTTACCATAGCCCAGTACTGCTAGTTTCTGTGAATTTCCAAGATGAATGTGGAATTCCTGAATTCTAGGAGTTTGCTCTCCATAAAGAATCAGACGCATAAGTCAACAACACAGCTTGCTACAACACTGCATATAGTAGGAAAAGAAGAATGGCCTCTAACACAATGCTGGAAACAGCTGGGGAAAGAATCCTGGAGGCTTCCCGGGGTGACAGCTGCCTGAGCTTTACATCGAAGACAGGAGAGACCATCCAAGCAGAATCACGTAGGCCAGTGCTGGCACGTGCAGGTGTAAGCCGTGCACGGCGTGTGATGTCTAGGCATCCAAGCCCAGCGTGCTGTGTGTAAAGCCTGGAGCAGCCAGAGCATGAGGTCTCACTGACTGGCGTGACTTGGATGCTTTTCTGAGAGCACAGACTTGAGACAACTGGGAATAACCATGCAGACTGTCCACAACCAGCCAGCATTTAGTCAAACTAAGGAAGGAAAAAGAGTTTCAACTAACTAAAGTGACTGACTGCAGTGGAACAAGATTTATAATGCAGTGCTGGGAAAACATGATAAACATGGTACGAGCAGGCATCACTTCAAAGGCAAGTCTAAACCTTAGCTACCTCAAATATTCAAACAACACTACACTACCTACTCAACATGCAAAGGAAAACGAACATCTCCTACCATAGGAAAGGAAGGCTCAGCCACGAGATTTAAACACTAAAAATATTCCCGTCACTTCCTAACATGAACGATATAAAAGAAAATCCCATTCTGGGGTAAGCTTTTCAGGAGCCAAAATCTGAAACTTTAATATACACACAAAAAATTTCAATGCCAAAGGCCATCCAACAATTTGATATTCTGTGACAAACATATCAACGTAGATTAACAGCCCACATAAAAGGTACTCATGCAGTATATGAAAAAATAAATATTTAAGTCTTACATATTGCCAAAGAAACTCCATATAGGTCTCACGGCACGCTTCTCTGAAGTGAATAAAGTTGATGATGCCACTTAAAAACCGACTTGTCCGTTTTGCTTCTAAAATAAAAAAAGACTGAATAAATCTTTAAAGCCACATTAAGAATCGTCCTCTCCTCCTCTTTACCCTGCCCCAAATCTATAAAATAAAACTGTGTACATTCTTAGGAAATACAGGATATTTGCTCAGAGTTACACGTAAGAATTGCGCTCGTCAATAACTCGCAAATTACTGATGGCCACAAGGAAACAAGAGGACCAGGTTCCTCCTCCCATTATAAACAGCTGAAAGAACAGAGCAAGTGACCAACGTGTGACCCTGGCCAACACGCAGCACAGGACAGAAATCTTCACAACGAATGAGCTGAACCCGCGGAGTCTGTCGGCTGGCACTACGCAGCCTTCAGGCAGCACCCTGTTGCAGTGCCACGCACGTTCTGGTGCGTGGGTGAATGTGACACGTCCACACCGCCTCACAGCAGCCTGGCTTACAAGGACCGAATATGAGAAACAGCCCAAATGTCTACCAGCTATCCAACGGAGCAGTGAGCTGTGCAGTTTGCTGACATAGCACCCCAAAACAAAAAGAAACACAACACCCACAAAAGCAACCATTCAGATAGATTTTTAAAAATTTTATGCTTAAAGAACCCAGAAATAATGACTGCATGGTAACCTAGCAGCTAAAGCCCTCTCCTTGTACCCACTGGGATCTCACATGGGCACCGGTTCTAATCCCAGCAGCCCCACTTCCATCCAGTTCCCTGCTTGTGGCCTGGGAAAGCAGTCGAGGATGGCACAAAACCTTGGGGCCCTGCACCCCACATGGGAGACCCGGAGATGGCTGCTGGCTCCTGGCTTCAGATTGGCTCAGCTCCAGCTGTTGCATTCACCTGGGGAGTGAATCATTGGATAGGAGATCTTTCCCTCTGTATATCTGCCTTTCCAATAAAAATAAATAAATCTTAAAAATTCTAACAGGTAAAACCACAGCAACAGAAAAGAGACCCACTGTCAGGCAATGGGAATGCTATAGGAGACAGCAAAGAAGCGTGACGGAACTTCCGGGGTACCGGAAATGGGCTTTACAGGACTGTGACAATGGCTATGAAGTGACATACACTGGGTGAGACTCACTTCATTTACATTTAAAGGGGTGGATTGCTTTGTTGTACATAAATTTCAAGTCAACAAAAAGCCAACAAAAAGACCCAGAAATGATAAAGATACAGATTTTTAAGTACTGCACCAGATCACATACAACACAGAATGATTTGATAACTATCCCAGTCAAATGAATAGAGGAACACTTACATAACCCTGGGAGAATCATACAATCTCATGTAACATTGAACTGTACTTATTATTCTGAAAAGAAAACTTCCACTTGTTTTTTGACAAAGCTGGTATGATGAAGCCATGATGTCACACCTGCATACAATCTGCACTTATGTTCACATGTATATGGAAAAGTTTTAAAATGTAAGGATTTTATCAAAGCTGATTTTTTAAAAAAAAGTTTCTGCAGATTTACAGGAAAAAAAAAAAAAACAATTTCAGTATTAAGGCATGATAATACTTACCCTAAAAGATGAGATTCATTGTTATAACCAACTTCCTTTCAGTTTTCTGATTATATATTGACTAACAGCCAAATGGCAGAATGAAACAAGACAATAAAAATTGCTTTGAGTTCCCACTTACTTGGATATAGAATATCAGCAATCTCAAAGTCATTCACCCGGCAGATGGGCAGAAATGAATCTCTGGATAGAGAACAGTGAAGACTGTGTTACAAGCACATACTTAGTCATACGACACAACCACGCCGACTACAACGTGACGACAGAGCACTAAATCTACCTTTTCCGGGTATTACAAATCAAGGTACACATGATGTAACAATAACAACAAGCATTCATGAAAACGCCAAGATACATCAAGAGCTCAAAATCTTCCACACTACACACAGCAGGGAAGACACAGCCTGGGTACCCACACTCTTCCACTTCCAGTACTACTTCCTGCACGTGCGCCCTAGAAGGCAGTGTGTGATAGCCCCGGGACTTGCATTTCGTCACTCCTAAGAAAGCCCTGGACCGAGCTCTGGGTTACTGCTTTGGGCCGGCGCAGGCTCTGTTATGGATGGCATTTGGGGAGTTAAATCAGTGGAAAGATCTCAAACTCTCTCTGCCTTTCAACAAAGAAGAAAACACACTTTTAAAGTTTTAAAAAGAAGATAGCAGATAATTAAATGTCTTAGAATTTCAATTGCAAGCCGTCTAAGATGTTGTCCATTCAGTTTGGGGAACATCTGTGATTCGGGATATTGTACAGGACGGAGGAGCCTGGGAAGGGCGGCCATTCTTTCCCAAAGAAAATCACGTCATTAACAAAGCGTCAGGCTAACATGACCGTGAACACACACTCACACATACAGACACTCCTTACTCACAGGTGAATGAACAGATTGCTCACTGGTAGGAAGCCTTCCATGATGTGTGGATACATGACTTCCGTGTTCACTGGCATCTAAACGCAATACATCACAACATCTAAGATACACACTGAGTAGACAGCACTTCAATTACGAGACATTTTTATCACAAATCAAAGCCAGAATTTATCAACATATCATTAAAGTGCGTAACAAAGGAAAAGATCTTAATCTTGAAATCTTTTACACACAACCATAATGGGGAAATTCTACCAACTTTATATGTCTACTACCTCTTTTGACATTAATGATTTCACAATCACACACAATACTAAGTCTGTCTTACTCCAGATACCCAATACGCTAAGCGCTCAGTTGTCTCGTGTCAATTATTTCAATCTTCCTGCATATAATTCACCATAATAATTAGGACACCTTTCTCAAGAGAGAATGATTTTTACAAAGATCTCGCTGCTGCCTCAGAAGACAGACCCCTAAATCTGTGACAATCACATTTATCAATAATTTACGTCACTTAGAGATTCTGTTAGAATTTTCACCTGACAAAAGTCATGTAAACTGCTACTATACCCAAGATTCCTTTGCAAGTGACAATTTTATAATAACACTTTGGATCATTTGTTGAAAAACAAGTCAAAAACCTCCTCTCCAAAAATACAGTATTCACCGTGAGCAGAACTGTATTAATAATTATTTTCAACTCACCATGTAAAAATGCTCCAGTCGAATTCCATACACTATTTGTAAGGCTCTCATGTAAATCATGTGTAAGACTTCCGGCTACAACACAAAAACCACTTTTAATGCTGTGATGCACGGCTCTAAAGCTGTAGCACTATCAGGACGACCAGCGCATATTATAATGAGAAGCAAAAAGAGATGACAGCACTATTTTCCTTCAAATATTTGTTCATTCTTCTAAATTTTACTCAGCAGTTTGTTTGTTTATTGATATCTAATAAGTCAAAAACCTCCTCTCCAAAAATACAGTATTTACCATGAATACTGTTAGTTTGTGTATATCTAATAACAAACCGTCAATGGGATCATTATTTGAGAAAGAAAGGTGGTATGGCCAAATCCAGCAGGAATCCACTGGCTGCCTTGAGGGAGCGGGGGAAGGTTGGTCTTCAGCACAGGCTCTCGGGCCTGGGGCAGAACACATGGCTATGGGGAACCTGGTTTGCTGTCTTACGTGTTACGCTTCCATAGATTTCAGGTTTAATGGAGTATTTGATCTAGGAGCTATACATGCACTAGGGCAGTGCAAGACTGGAAAAACCTTCTAAACGAGCAGTTCCCACATACTGGCCTGTGGAGCTGTCCCAGTCTGGACATAGGTTACTGAGTGAACAGGAAACTAACTGAAAAGTATGGGGAAGCTACAACGCTAAACTTTCCATAAAGCTGATTTGTTCATTAGCTCAAAGGCCTGTTAGTAATTCTTAAAATATTCCTTACATTTGAAAGAACTGAAGTGTTACAGAAATCAAAAGGTCTGAGTTCCACATCACTACACCACCAGGTTTTATTATATTATCACTCCAGTACCAGCATGGAGTTCTGCAAGGAGACTTTGGGATTTTTCTGAGACATATAAATTGTTCATTTTTGCATTTAATAACCGAAGACATAAAGAATAATGCCTGTCAAAACAAGTCAATTTCCCCCTGGGGCATAATGCAAGAAAATTAATCTATAAGCTTCCAAAGAGCATTGTTTCTAAGTATTTTTTTTCCATGGTTGGAAACCACTCGTAGTAGGTTCCATCAAGCCCTACCAATAAATGATATCCTCAAACCAACACTTCAATAATAACAGAAAATTTAATATACTGTAATGTATCTATGGTTGAGAATTTTTTTAAGAAAACCACCATATTAAAAAATTCAATTCCTATTGGAAATGTCTAAGTTGCCCTACATCCAAACCTCATGTTATTTTAAAGTTACATGAAGCGAGAAATTTTCTCTGGATTAAGATGACTGGCCTACATCAAATGGGAAAGCTTACTGCCTTTCTTGCTACGTTATAAACCTAGCAGCTTTGTTTTCCAACTCCACCAGCCAAGCTCCAGTCCGGCGCTGTTTTACCTTTGGATTGGGATAGAGATCATTCTTGGAGAGGTTTTTACCATCGGCTCCCGTTAAGAACTTGTTGCGAATATGAACCACGATCTCAGCCACATTGTATCGGGGGAAAGACAAGGTCTCCATCTTGGGAGACTTCCGCTAGCCTGGAGGAGGAAACAACAGTCAGAAGCACCACCAAACACCATCAAGTCGGAGGTTCTCTCTAGAAAGTGACAAAAATCAACGAAGCCGTGTGTGATGACTTCCGGAAGTGTTAAGTGTCATCAAGTACACTTGCAAGACAAAGTCAGTTGCCCCACTGAGAAGGATGCGCAAAGCTGCCCACTCTGCAGTAACAGCCATTCCCCACTAACACTCTGAATGCTGCTCACTCCTGAATGGAAGGGAGCACTTTGGCTGAATAGACAGAGTAGAAACCACGTGTTTCTTTTTTTTATATTTGGGGGCTCAGGGGTCTTGCAATCAATAGCGAAAATGAATCCTCAAAGTAAAGCACACAGCCAACACCACCAACAGAAGCTACAGAAGATCAAGAGCAATATAGGGTAGGTAACTCGATTCCGATTGGACATCCCACCCCACGTGCATAACAGGTGCTGGTTAGTAAACCTTAACATGGAAGTTGGAGAGTCAAAGAGACAGAATAAGTCAGTGATGGAAATCGGCAGAGTATGAATTTCAAAAACAAAAGCACACAAACCCACTGCCTTAATGTCTTCAAACAAATATTTTTACCTCAATCTTTCCTCCTCCCCAGGCAATCCCAATTCATGGTGGCATTGTTTGTGCTCAGGACACGTGTGGCTATGGCTATTGGAATCCAGTGGGTACTGGCCATGGATGCTGTTTAACCTTCTACAGGGTCTAAATTCCATCCCCATTCCTCCTCCAGCCCTCACAGGGTAGAAACATTCTGTCCAAAACTGCAGCAATGCCAAGGGTCCCTACAACTTTACACCTGTTACCAGATTGGTCAGAATGCACTGAACTTGGAGAACTCCAACACTATGTTTTAACATTCTAATAACTTTCTCTTTTCCCCTGGAGACCTTTGCATTTTTTTTTTTATTGTAGTTCTACCTGTCACACAGCCAGTATATATTATAGCTCAGCAGCAGCAGGAGCCGTGAGAGAAGCGACAAGGGCCCTCCAAGGCCTGACTACTTACAGATCCCTTGCCTCCAAGCGAGCAGCACAGCCCAGACCTAATGAGATCAGGTTTAGTTCTGCATACGCACCTGTGGGAATCCATTTCCTTAGGCTCCTAATGTTTCTTGAAACCATAGGAGTAAAGATAGCAACTTTCCAAACCTTCAATAAATGTAGGAAGCCATTCTAAAAGATGATTGACAAGCGACCACTGTTGTGCCGCAAGACAAAAACATCTAAGAATCCACTAGGTCTCAGAAGTTGGTTCCCACTGAGACAACCCTCGCTGCTGATGTCCTGGAGGGTCTGCTGTCCTTCCCACCTGAGGGTCCCAGTTATTACAACTACACAGGCTTTAGGACAAAACTTTAAAAAAATATAAACAAGCCATGAAGCCTCTGCTAAGCTCTCTTTAGGTAAGTATAGCTTCTTCACCCATAGCCCATTCCTTGACACTGTTGAGTGAACCTGACCATGTGTGAGAGAAGAGGAATACCGTTCCCGGCCCACTGGATTCTCACTCAACAACAACCTGCATCACGACTTCTGTGGCCGAAAGCATATGGGTTTTCCCCTATACACCAAGCAATCAGCTCGCCAGCGCACTAAATCAGCCTTCTAAATCAGTTTAGTTCTGACCCTTCCCCTGCAGTGTCACATCCCACAGGTTGGGGGTTCGGTTCCCAGGGCCGCAGCGTCTCTCCTGCCTGGGATGCCCACGGAGGAGCCCCGGCTTCCCCCCACAATCTGCACCTTAGGTTTGATTACTTAACCAGGCTGGTTCAAATAACTCAGGGCAACACCTATTTGACTGATTTCTATTTGCCTGTGGGAAAGCGCCCAGAACTGTGGAGCATGAAGGAAGTTCCCTCAGGGAGGCACGGACTCTCCTGAAGCTCCCAGGAAGCTATCAGCCACCGTCAGCACGCAAAGGGACAATGACCGGCAGAGTCCAAGGGTTTGAGGAACTGCCTATGACAGGCAGGAATAAGGATCAAATACACATCTCAAATATGTCACACCACCCCACTTACCTACCTCTCAACACACCATCACGCTGCACACAGCAACTTAACCTGTGGCCAGCCAGGCTAAGAGAGAACTACCGGCCTCTTGAGATCTAGTCCACAGCCAGACTCACCACTTCCTGGCAAATTCACGTTTGCCATCAGTAGGAACTTCTGCAACCCAAGAACCTTTCAACACGGCCCACTTCCGGGACTCCTGGACTTACCCTTGATCCTCTTAGATAGTATATTATTTGAACCTTCTGCAAGGATTTATATTTTCTACCACTAAATTACATTGGTGTAAGCTTACAGTTTAGAGCTTTTTAAATTTAAACTCTGGTGTCATCTCTCCCTTGCAGCATAAATATATGCAAGCATGCATTCCACAGTTTCAAAGCCACGGCTGTGATAACCGCTGCTGAAAGAATTGTGCAATGACTCCAGAAAAAGCTCACTTTTCCCAAACACACTACACCTGCACTGGACATTGTCACAGCAGAAGGAGCACGCGGGAAGGCCCTCACGACTCTTCCTCGCTTGTGTGTTTTGCAGGTGCTAGCAAGTGAATGAAGCGTCCAACTCCCCACGTAGCACCCGCACAGGGACACAGCCACCACCTCACCCGCTCCAGCCAAGTCAGACTTTCCTTCCTCATTCGTAAAAGCTTAACAGTCTGACAAACTTTTTTTTTTGCTACAAGTTAGTCCCCTCCAAGTTGTTGCCCACACTTCTAATGCTGCCTTCAGAACCTCCTCTCTCAGCCACATTCTGTCATTCCTTCACAGCGCAATTCCAGTTCCGATGCATTCATTCATAGGAGAGCTTTGCGAAGGAAGACAGAAACTGAGGCGGGCGGTCCCTCCCAGCACACACAGGGAGTTCACGGGCAGGACCTTACATGAACAACCACCCTGTCTTTGGGGGCTTAGCGGGCGGCAGAAACCAACTGCTGTTTCCCTCTCTGGGTTTCTTATTCGCTGCGCACGGCGGGTGCCGGAAAAAACGCCTGTTCAGTCCTAGACACTTGGTTGTGCGGAAACAAGCTAGTCTGTGCAACTGACAATTCGGAGATTCAAAGTGACTCCCCAGGCCCCATGAACTCCATGTAAAAAAGGGGGTCTTTGGGACTCATTTCAGCACATTCCAAAGACTCCGTGGGAAGTACACGCAAGAGGAAACGAGTTGTGAGATTGTTTTTGAAATCCATGCCCCGCTGTGAGGAAGACGATTCGCAGAATGCAAGCGAATCGCATATGCCAGCTTGGCTTTTGGGTTTCGCGGTGAAGACACGACGACTTAGCGAGCCGACCGGCAGCTAACCGCACCCGAAGGAGCCTGTCCACGCCCCTCCCGGTACAGAGACTCCTGGACACGGGAGTGCACGCTTCCCCTGACCGGCCCCAGGCCAGCCGCCTCCTCCCGCAGTGTGTACACCGCACCGGCGAGCAGCACGGGACCGAGCTCGTCCCACCCTGCCCGGGGCCAGCCCCTCCGGCCCGCCCCGCGCCCCGCGCGGACGCTCACCTGCCGCCCCAGCCGCCCGCAGGAGCCCGGCCAGCCCCGCCGGCCCGCCCGCCACGTCCAACCGCCGCGACCGTTGTTGTGGTCCCTTTTCAAACCTGCCGCCGCCGCCTGCAAGCCCCGCCCATCCCGTCCGTACCCGCGACGGAAGCCGGCGAGGCTCAGTCCATCCCCCCGCTGGGCGGAGCTGCAGCGCGCGCTCCGGGCTGCGGGCGGAACTCCTCTTCACGGCCTGGGACTTCTAGTCGGAACCGTGCACACGGCAGGAAGCGTGAGCGTCACGGCTTGGGGCGGGGAATAGAGCGGGGACCTCCGGCGTGGGCTTCCGGCGGGGACCGAACTGGGAAGGTGTTTCGGGGTCCCGAGTGCGAAGGGAGGGATAAAGGGGCGCTTGGGATAAACTCGGGGAACCGGGGCGTCATCTGACTCCCAGAGCGAAGGTGCCGGCGTTGGGAGCACCACCGAGCCGGGGGACTCGCTGTTAGTTATTTAGAAGAGTGTAAGAATTCTAGTTCTAGGTTATAGGATATTAAGATACTTTACGCGCAGCTAATTCTCGCAACCTGGTTCTTTACCGTGAACTGAAAACACCAGACGCAACGAGGTATCTTAGGAGGTTTATTCCAGCGGGGCAGGAACAAGGTGGAGGTAGTGGAGGTCAGGAGGAGAAAAGAGGCAGAAGGAAACACCTGGGGCCTTTTATGCAGGTAGGCCCGGAAGGTGTAGGGGGGGCGGGGATTGTGGGGGTTTGAGGGCAGGCCTCAGGGGATTAGTGCCTGCAGGTGAATACCTGGGGATGATTGGTGAGTGGGCGGGGTTGGGGAAGGGGCTGGGAGATTGGGGTGGGATTCTCAGGTGGAATGCCAGGTTACATCCGATTGGTGGGTAGCTGGATTGGCGCGAATTCCGTGAGCTGTGAGGAAGAAGAAATGGCGCAGGTGCAGGGCATCAGTCTCCGTGATGACTTTCAAATCACTCCTCACATTCCTCCCTTTTTCTATATATAAAAGGAAAAGGGGCGCAGTTTTCTTCTGTAGCTTCTTCAAGCTGAATTTGGGCGTAGTGTCCTCTAATCAGTGGTCTCCTGGTGGCCGGGGGGAGGAATGAGAGACTGGGAGAGGCTCGTAACCCTGCAAAAGAAGCTGGTTAGCTGTGTTGTTAATGATTTTTTCTATTTGAGCAAGAATAAACTTTTGAAGAAAATTGATGAAGCAAGGGGCCATAGCGAGTCCTGCAACAAGTATTATCAGAGGGGTGAGAAGAGGGGCAAGCGTAGACATTAGAGGAGACTGAGCCCAGGAATACCAGGAATCGCTATTAGTTTCAGACTGTTGGAGATGATCCTTGATGTCTAACAGGTGTTTAACATTCTGCTCAACTATCCCCGACTGGTTAATGTAAAAGCAACATTCCTCATGGAGGAACATGCAGGTGCCTCCCTTTTCTGCTGTAAGAAG